TAAAAAAGTAAGTCCAATGAGACTAACTTTACCTTTGTATAGAAGAAAATACTATTCCAGCTTACACATGGGAATATACTTGGTGTCTAGGGTAAGCCAAAAATTAAGAAGGAAAAATTTGCATACGTGTTTCGTGTATCATGTGCGTATCTAGAAGTACCATGCAAAGTACCAGTACCCATTACCGGTACGACATGTTCGTCGAAGTATCCATGCTTCATAGAGTAGGGACCTCAGGTACCAAGTGGTGAGAGTAGAGTTCATTTCTTTCAAGATAGCACCAGAATTAAGAAAAATAAAGGAAAGATGTAATAGAGGAAAGCACATCCTTAAATTGACAGGCCAAGCTTTCTTGAAGAACATGACATTATGGTCATCGGGGCCATGAGCTTTCCCATCTTTGAGAGAACAAGGTTTCTCTAATCCCTTCAACAGTAACGGCCTTGTTTTGTTTCTTCTGAGCATCATTTAATTGATCACTATAGTCCAAGTTCATATCTTCTATGCATACCATAGTACCACCTCCCTTATGGCCTAGCAAGTTCTGAAAATAAGTAATGATTTTAGCATTTCCTTGGCATCAGTAATAGACACTCAAGACTTCAGGGTTACTATTAAGACTTTTCTTGACTGCTTCCAATTGAGATCTTACTTCCTCCAGTCCACCTTTTTTGTGATGTCACTATAGTTAGATTGGCACAGCTTCTTCAACTTCAACTTTGCATTTTCAACTCCTGGCATAGACAAAACATGAGAGTGCCCCGAACATGATTTCTCCAAACCCTAGCAACAAGATTCAAGAATTCAGGGTGGTCAGCCCAACAATAAAAAAATTTGAAGGGCTTCTTTTGCTTAATAGGGGCAGACAGCACTTTAACCAAGATAGGGCTATGGTCAGATATTCCTGCAGTCAGGAATTCTGCGTCATTTCATGGTCCAAGCCTCATTGATGAGAGGTTTATCAATCTCTCGAAGCACCTGACCATTTGTCTGTGTGAACTGCATACCTCAATATTTAAGATCATCAAACTCAGCACTCACAAATCAGTCATTGCAGTCGTGCATGTACCTGGTCCATTTAACAGAGCCCCACAGACCAGCCATGGCTGCTGGTTGAATAGCCTGGCCATAGCTTCAATGTCCAGTCTGTTTTGGGGAGCGTTATCACAATACATGGCAGAAACTTAGCAGTCCATTTTCTTCTGGCTCTAACATGACAATGAATAGCCTGGTCATTTGTACTAATGCACATTACATTCAGCATATCTTGATTCCATAGGATCCATATCCTTTACAAAGTGGATCATTGTAATTGGACAACATTCCCCAGCTTCCATTCATAGATTCGAAGACCATATCCTTATTAACACTTCTGACTTTATTTCCCAAGAGCCCGAAATAAAGATACATTTTATTCCTTTGAATAATATGATCCTTGATTTCCTTCTAATGTATAGAGAAATTAAGGAAGCCCCCCTTTCATTTTTAGCCTTCCCCACTTTTTATTTTTTTATCTGGATTAGATGGCTTGGGGTCCTGTTATTAGCTTCCTCTATCTCCAGGTTGTCAAAAGTATTTGATGAACTCCACAGCTGTTTGAGTTGCCCCCCATAAAGGATGGTATCACCTGTATGGTACAGATAGGTTGGTCTTGATCAAAGCCTACCTCATGATAATGTTCCCCATTTAACGAATTGCCCATATCCTGCGTAATTTTTGTCCTTGCTCCGACGGTTGCTCTTTATTCTGGGAATTAGGTCATCTTTGCCCACATTTTGGGCATTAGGATCATCATTGGCTGTGGGCACCCATTGGTACACTTTTATCCCTTTCTGTTGCCCAGGTCAAAGTTGATGTTATTACCATTTTTTAAGAAAATTTTGTGAATTTACCCCCATTATTAAATTCAAAACATTCCTTTTCTTGAGATATGCAGAGAGCCACTTTACCATAGAAAGGTAGTTCATGTATATATACATACTAAAATATTCACAGCATAGAGAACTTAGTGAGAGTTTGTAGAAGCTTCACTTCTTCAGCTTTGGAAGAGAAAGACAATGGCTGACGCTAACACAAACAGCGGTACGTTACTGGATTTTCGGCTGTTTCGACTCTCTGTGGCCATTTTATTGAATGATTGCATACAACATATTCGGGTAATCTCTTCCAGTTCATGGCAACGTGCTGGCCACTGATTATGCCTAGTGGTTGTGATGCCACTAGGCATAATCAGTGGCCAGGAGCTTTCCATTGAGGCCAGGAGCTTTCCCATCTTTGAGAGAGAATGAGCTAAGTCTGTCAATGGTTAATTCATGGGCTACTATGAGCATGTTGATTTTTTGTTGACAATTAATTTATAGTTTTCTAGCACTAATGATACTTTTTTGTCTTTTTTCTTCGGCACATCATATTATTTAGGGTTTCAAATGGATTTTTTTTTTTTGATAAATGGTTTCAAATGGATCATTGTTTCATGTTAATGCAATGCCCTGCATTGCCTTTTTGATCTTATGCTTCAGATTCTTAACATGTATGCATTTTAATTACACAATGCAACTTCAAATTGTTTTTTGTCTTCCTTCTTTTCGTCTGTTTCAACAATGCTGAGTTTAGTTGAAGCTTCTAATATATTTCTTTTAATTTCATTTTTGGTGGGATACACAGATTATCATTAATTCTATACCTCTTTGGATATGCATCCAAATTGCAAAATTGCAAATGATTACATCAACAGTTTTTTGAGATGTTAAGTGAACAAATTTTATGAGTCCCAGCCTCACAGGACGATTATTTTTATTTTATCTATCCATAGTTGATCAAGCAAATAGGGATGTTTTATATTTCTACTAGTGTTGAAAAAGTAGTATTTGAAGTTTTATTGTTCTTGACCGTTTGTCCCATATAGAAAGAAGAAAAGCAGATGACCGCTGCATGTTGAGCAATATCCTGAACTGATATTAGCAAACCAAAGGACGAAAGTATTAAAAACAAAAATAAATAAGCTGAGTCATTACGTAATCAGTAGATAAAACTTTAGATCTGAGTAGCTTTAAGTGCAATTAGAAAGAGTTCATTATGAGTATGTTAATTTTCATTTTCATTCTTTCTTGCATGTTTATATGCATGTATGTGTCTATATATATTGTGATGAAGAACTATTGTATACTATAACTTCAATGCAGAACATTTACACAATTTCTCATGTGTAACTTGTTTTAATAACATAATGTTTACTTAGTTCTTAAAAATCATTTGTTTGTATTACTTGTTAGTAAATATCTCTAGTTGGTGTTCCATTTATACGAACCAGGAATTCAAGTTTATTTGTGGTGTATGTATCTACTAATGTTATGCTACTGTCAGCTTTCCTTCCCATTCTTACTCTTATTGTTATAGGCTGAAGATAAAGCCTTCCCCATTTCTTTTTATTTGGAACAGATGGGCCTGGGGTCTTGTTATTAGCTTCCTACATCTCCAGGTTGTCAAAAGTATTTGCTAGACTTCACAGTTTGAATCACCTGGTATCACCTGTATGGTATGGATAGGTTGGTCTTGATCAAAACCTACCTCATGATAATGTTCCCCATTTAACGAATTGGCTACATCCTAGGTTGAGTTTTGATTGCTCCAATGGTTGCTCTTTATTCTTGGAATTAGGTCACCTTTGCCCACATTTTGGGCATTATGATCATCATTGGCTGTGGCCTCCCCTATGGCTTCTGTACTTGCCTCCATTCTACTTTCGGTTTCTTTCCCCAGTCATTCCTGAGTACAGCATAAACCAAAGACTGGTTGAGCACCCATTGGTGCACTTTGACCCCTTCAAAATTCTCATTCCTATTGTCCAGGTGAAAGTTTTCCACCAGTTCCCTACCCACTTCAATCTGAACAGAGATTTTGGCAAAAGTAATTCTCTTTTGTGATTCAGCTAGAATTTGAATAATGCTTGCAATGTGGCTTAACCCTTGCTCATTCCAATATTCGAAGGGGGCGTTGAAGAATTTAGCCCAGTGAGGAAATTTTATTAGACTTTCCTTTCACAAGTTAAGTCTGTAGTCCCACCACTTCAGGACCATTAGCTTCCCTCCAAAATGCTATGGCTTCCCTTTCAAAACTGAATCGAAAGAAGAAGAAACACTTTTCATTAGACATAACATGAATCAGTCCATTCTCGCCCCACAGTTTTTGGCAATAGAGTTAACAACAAAAAGATAACTTCTTATTAATAAAGTAACCACTCTGCCCCCATAGTTTTTTGGCAATAGAGTTAACAAAAGCATAACTTCTTATTAACAAAGTAACCCACCAGGCAATCATTCCATCCATCTACCTAGACACATGAGGGTGGAGTAGCCTTATTTTCCCCATCCTCCTTGGGTGCAAAATATTCTAGATTTATCTTAGCCACCCTTCCTCTGACATGGTTTCAGAGCTGAAAATATTGAGATGGGTGAGTAAAAGTTGATAAAACTTCAAATGATTAAATTCTGAGAGAGAGCACCAATTTGTATGCTAAATGGTGAAAATTGTCTGAATTGTATAATGGGTTACCTATAGGGCCATAGTCTAAACAAACGACTGCACTATGTTGTACCATGTGTTGAATAAAATCTAGACTAATAACTTGGAACTTTAGAGTAGGTTGAAGCAATTACTGAACACTAACTCTGTGTTTGGATCATCAATTTAGGTAGGGATTTGGAAAGGAAAAAGAAAATGCGAGGGAAATGGATAAAAAATTTAATTTATATTTTATTCACATTTCCCTTACATTTTCGTTCCCCTTTCCAAATTCTTATGCAAGTCTATAATCCAAACACAACATAAGAGTTGAGGTTGCAAGTACACTCATATTTGTTTTGATCACATAGAAAGCTGAACATCTATAAAAGTGTTTTTTGTAATCAACATTGGCGAATAAGTGGTTGCTTTAGATGCTTCTATTTGAGTACTGATCGTATAATTTGAGTACTGATCGTATATTTTGGTTACTCACAGGTGTGGTTGAAGATTTCACGAAGGTAATATGCACATGGTGTCCCAGTGGGCAGTTGGAAGTGTGTTACTGTGAACAAAATGAATCTAATATTAGAATCTTTGTACATGTGGTGGATATTGACAATTATGTTACTTGATTTAGTATATGTCTAGACTGATATTCTAAACTGATATCTAAACTAATATTTGTAGAACAATGACATCGCATGATGCTTTGTTTTATTATTGAAATGTATGACATAACAACTAAGGCAGATTGCATGTCTAAGGTATATTTTAATTTAAACATGTTAAAGAACGTAAGCTGAAAGCATCCTAGACATTGGAGATGCCCGATATGCATGTTGTTGAATTGGAAAGTGTGCGAGGTGTCTACAGAAATTGTTTTCATGTGATGGAAGGCTGGTGTCAAACTGGTTGATGTCTGTTTACTGTGCCTATGGCTTGTTTGGTGTTTTGTTTTTCACATGAATTTAAAGTGGGGTTTCTGCTTGTATGACATTAACAAAATCACTGAATTCCTCCTTTGTGTATTTTGTTGATATAGTGCATTGATTGAGAATCAGACCCTAGGCTTAGTTGGTGGTAGTGTAACTGTTATGTGCATGGTGTTATCCTATCTTCAATAGTCAACACTACCACCAAGTAGGGCTGGGCATAGAATTATTTGACCCGTGAAAATCGCCCAACTCGAATTGCCCGCACCTAATTGGCGATTTCACCTAATTGTTAGGGTTGGATGTGAGTTAAGATTTTTCGGTTTTGCAGGTTGCAGACGGGCCGTGAGTTTTACCTGACGTCATCCACACTCACTTGCCCGCATTTGTATATATTGTTTAGCTTATACATTTTTTGCGAAGTGAATGTGAGTCAATTAACTTATATCGGCCTGTGCTTATGGTCTGTTTTTTTCAGGAAGTGAATTTGATAGATAGGCTATAATTTATTTGGGATATATCATTTGGAAAATAATGATTTTATTATAAGAATTATGTGATTTTATGATCCAAAATAATACTTAAAAATTAAGGGGAAAAGGCTTGAAAAAAATATTTTAAAAATGTGGAAAAACAAGCTCAAAATAAATTTTTAAAGGAAAAATATAATTTGCAAACTGTCTACTCATCTGCAAATCTTATATGCATATATTGCAGTTTGTACTGTGGGTGATTGCGATTTTAATTTTTCTCAAACTGTAGATGTGCAGACGGATTTAAATAGCAAATTGAACCGTCAAAAATCGATCGGTAAACACTCCTATCACCAAGCAGTTTACTACTTCCTGATCCCCATCTTGTTTGCCTTGAAGGCCCAAGTTTTGCTTTTGATCCATCAAGATGTCCTCATGAAAAGGTTTTTAGTGTTTGGAGCACTGGGAGGCTTACGAGAGGAGTCCTATGGCACAGGTGCTAGAGGGATTCTGGTGAATCTGTTGGAGTTTACATGCCTTGTGGCATATCATCACATTCCACAGCTAATGTCTTGGTGGCCCATCATACTAACTAGGTGATTTTGCGAACCATGTCACTTATTGGTTGTAAATCTCCCCGCGTTACGAAAATAACTTTGTTCACTTATTTTTCTAGTGTGTGAATAATACATAAAATATGAGTGATCCAAATATATGGATTTCATACTCAAAATATGTAATGACTCCACCTAAAATGGTAGGCTTAATTATTCTATATCAATTAAAATGTGTGAACAAAATGGGAATTACAAGTCACCATCTCTTTAGTGAGATACTTGGATATATTTTGTTCGATCCCATACTCCACATAATGGTTGTTTCTATGTCAAATGATGTACAATCATTGGGTAAAAGTAATTGAGACTCAGGCATATAGTATACTGGGTAGAAAATGATGAGGAATCATCTTTGGTGATCTGCACATAGTAGTGGGGAAGGCCATTAGTTACAGTAAAGTTAGACAAGAGCTTCTAAACCATATACTTCTCGTGTCGTGGGTTGCTACTCACTACATTGAGTTGATACTCTTGTGTTTGACAATGATTGTTCCTTAATTAATTGTATTGGCTTGCACAAAATAATTATAGGTGAATGTGAAATTGATTCTAAAAAACATCATTTGAACATGATTGCAAGACAAAATTTCTTTAAATTAAACATATTTTTTTTAGAAAAATAAATTTGTTATTGTTTTGTTTACTTGGGTCAAAACCAAATTGGATGTGATCCAGATTCAAACACGTTGTTTTGAGAAAAATCATGTTGTTTGTTACTGTTCTATTGTAGCTTTCCTATGGAAGAAGTGTCTCTTGCATCCAAACAGTTGCAATGGTCATTCGAAGAACCATGAATTCATCTATAAATACAACCTTCCATTTCATTCATTTGGCATCGAAATCATCTCGGCTTCTCTTCTTTGCACTAAGTTCTTCTCTCCAAGAGAGTACCGCACTACATTGGTTTGCCAAACTCGCAAATTGAAATGCTGCTTCTGCGAGATTCTCAATTGTTGTATCATGGGTGATGGATATCTATTCAAACTCGTGAGGATTGCAGTGAGAGGGAAATTTCGTCTTAAGCATATTGTATCAACCACAAAACTCGATCACCATCTGTTAGACTTTGAATTCCCATAATATTAATTTTTACTATTCATGGTTTTTGTGAGTATTTTTTTGATCATGTTATATTTGATTTCTAATATACACTAACACATTGATACACATAAAATTATCAAACAATTTCTTCGCAATAATGTGATTATAGAAACCAAACAATACATTAATATTTCCACTGTCAGTTTTAGATATTACTTATTTTTACTATTCATGGTTTTTGTGAGTATTTTTTTTGATCATGTTATATTTGATTTCTAATATACACTAACACATTGATACACATAAAATTATCAAACAATTTCTTCGCAATAATGTGATTATAGAAACCAAACAATACATTAATATTTCCACTGTCAGTTTTAGATATTACTTGTATTGATTTTATTTCTTCCATTTTTTGATTTCTGAGTTTTGAGTTAACCAGAGTAAGAATGATCTTCTGGTTTCTTTTTATTTTATTTTTAAATTTTCATTCTTTCTTACAATTGAGTTGTGTCATGGGTTTTTGCAATATTTCTTTCAAGGTAAGGCTTCTTTTCAGTTCAATTTGGACTGGAGAGGATTGTCTGAACTTGTAGGGCTCATTGTTAGAAAAATGTTATGCACTAATATAATTTAATTAATAAAATGATTATGAGATTTACGATAAATAAAATATGAAAATAAGTAAATTCATATAGAGTAAGAAAGAGTTGGCGCATGAGATTGAGAGGAATGTAGTTACTGCTCTAAAACCGTTGTTCCTCCTCACATGAAGGTAGAACCAGAGTGCAATGGCTCCAAGATACAACCCAAGCGCTCACAACCTTCCTCATCTGATGTTCACGTCCACCCGGAGGATATGAATGAGTCACGAATTATAATTATCCAAAAATA